CAGTTTAATATGATCAACAAAGGCAGCATGTATTTGTAGAAGAGCCACCATCTTACGTTCTAAAAACTCACGACTAAATGTGACGTCTCGTGTGCAAGTACAACCGTACAGAGATTGATTATCCACCACGCTGGAACTCGTTTACTAAAAAAAAAATAGAAAAACAGAACAGCGAAGAGTTTTAAGGTTCAATTCACCTGCACAAACTGCAGGACTGACCTGCGATCAGTCCTGAGCCCGTACCCTCCACCCAAATACATACAGACAAGAGTCCGCAGGGTCCTAGAGACCCCAAAACAACTACCTAACCCTGACGCACTGTTAGTTTGGGGCAAACGAGTGGAAGCATCTTCACTTTACCTGCTTCGTCTAAATACATCCATACAGCGCACAGTGGAAGCGCAAATACTGTGAGGAGGAAACACAGCGCCTGCCGCATGCCGCTGTCTCAAACGGACACTTTCATCCTATCCTCACACCGACTACGACAGTGCACTTTGTCTTATTCTTACCTAATATATGACAGCATTTGAGAGCTGTCAGCTTTACACGGGTGATCCCGATCATGAGGCACTAGCCCTGCAGGCGGAGTGACCACAAACAGGAAGACTTCCTATGGTACATTCAGGGCCCCTCGAACACAACAGCACCAAAGGGTTCGCTCTGGATCTAATGATGGATATAATCCCCAACAGTGTGTTGGTATCATTGCCTGTATTTATATATAATGAAATACGAGAATATTTAATCTATATAGCTTCAGAATTGCAAGCATTTAAATATATACCATCAGAGATTAAATACCAATGTAGCATTTCTATTCACCTATCTTGACGAAACTCACTTAATGTCTTCTTCACTTTTTGACAGGACTTTAATACATTGAACTTAAAATGTTTTATAAAAGAGCGAGAGCGAGAGAGAGCCATAAATAGTAAAACTAGAATAAATTAATGGGATGCCTTGAAAACAAAGTTCGGGGATTAGTAGTTCCATAATCCCTCTTTAGCTCTTCACCTACTTCCTGTTTGACATCAGTACTTTTTGAAGTTTCTATTCCCTGAACTTCACTCCACATTGTGGCTGAGTTGAGTAATGCTGTGGGGAATTTATATGTTCACAAAATGGCAGCTCTCTCAAGAGTACGGATTTACATCATTTAAATCAGATCACTTCTCCCTTAAATCTGCTGTCCTCTTTAACTGGTTGAGAAGCGGACCGTGGCACCATGCCCGAGGTCTCTAAACTGAAGAAGCCCGACGTGAAGCTGGTGCTTTTGGGAGACATGAACGTGGGGAAGACGTCCCTGCTCCACCGCTACACGGAGAGGAAGTTTAAAGACACTGTCAGCACGGTCGGTGGGGCGTTTTTCCTCAAACAGTGGGGGCCATACAACATCTCCATATGGGACACCGCAGGTAATCTAAGTATTTTGTGTAGTACTACTTGGACAGTCTCTTTTGCTGTTCTGTACCCTGTTGTTTACATGAGGAGTGGTAGATTGGCCTCTGTACCTGGGCTCAGACATGTGACTGACCCTAGAACCAGAAGAGCCCTTTTCTCACGTCCACATGTTTAATCAGCTGCAGAACACAGAGATCAAAATCCATTTGGCAGCCTGAAGCACAATAGGTCTATCCCCTAACCTCGTAAAAACCTCATATACAGCCCTTCAGTGTCCCATATGATTTTAAACAACTAAAACCAGTATATCCTATCAATATATTGTCCTTAAATTATGTCTAAATCTTTTAATAAAGAACTGTATTTAATTAGAAAAAACACTGTCTGAAACCAATACCCATTTACTCATTTATTGTACAATTATTGCTTTTTATCACTTTCATTAGAATTCTCACTTGACCTAAAATATATGATTCTTTGCTTGTCCCACAATCCCAGTGGTAAAGGAGTCAACGTGCCTAATCATAAATATTTCTTTAGATAAGGATAACAAAATTGACCTGGCCTCAAACATTTTTTCTGCCTGCGTATGCGCGACCCCTGACAGCCTGAGGTGGTGTTCAAATCAGTCATTGAGGTAGAAAATGCTGACTCAACAGGAAGTAATTTCAGTGTTTTCTAAAAGCACTGGTTTCTACCCCATCCCAAACACATTTTTCCCAGACATATGGCAGTTGGACAGTTTCAGACGAACTGTGGAGATGTTTATGTTGTTGGTATAATATTATTTTAAGAGCTGTTTTTTCAAACTCTGTGAACATCTAGCCCTGTTCCTCATATTGGGTCACATGGTAGTGCTGCTGTGACCGGAAGATTTGACTGCTTTACATCACATAGTACTTTCCAGAGCTTACAGAGATTATAAATTGTTGAAACAATATTAAAACACACATTATTCTCGCACAGTGCCGTACAAGCGACAACAGAATACACAACAGAAAAACTAAATTTGGTATTTTAATATAAGATGGATGTTTATAATTCTTGCATGATCAAAAATGTGAGAGCCTTCCCATGCACACAATGTAACCTTTCACAAGCAAAATAGCTCATGTTTATTTCACAAAGGCTTTTTGTTCTCAGACTTCGGATGGCCAAGCGCAAGGTACTGTATTTTGTGATGTTTTCATTACCACAAAAAAAAAAAAAAAAAAACGTGGGGAAGTAAATATTAAAATATTAATAACTAAATGTCCAGTTTTAAAAGAGTTTTTCAGAAGGTTAGGTTCTATCTGTGCTTGGTTTCTCTTTTTTCCCCACGTTTTTTTGGTTGTATTTTGCATTTCCACCTTGCTTGCCACTTCCCACCTGAATGTAATGAGCTTCAACTGAACCAGACTTCTGAGTTGAGAATAAAGTGGGGTCCCCTTTGTCTTTGCATGGGATGGGTTAAAATGTTGTACCTGCTGTAGTTCTTCCATAGTACTGTATAAAAATCAGATTAAGTCACAGTTTATTCAAATATCTTCACTGTTTCAAGTACAGGAGTTCAAAAGTAAATAGCTGATCTTTTACAATAACGGTTATCTCTCTGTTCCTCTAGGTCGGGAGCAGTTCCATGGTTTGGGGTCCATGTATTGCCGTGGGGCAGCTGCCATCATCCTAACCTACGATGTGACCAACTGGCAGAGCCTGGTGGAGCTGGAGGAGAGGTTTCTATCACTGACGGACACTGCTAACCACGACTGCATTTACGCTGTCGTGGGCAACAAGGCGGATCTGACTGATCTCACTGCACAGTTACCTCAGACTTTGGACTCAGGGGACCAAACCAATAGTGAAGAGTCGCAGGTACTATCTGCATGTCCCACCCCACCTGCCTCCCCTGTCTCCATCTCTGGTGTACTCCTTCGCAAACAAGTTACCCACGACGACGCTGTTGCTCTCTATGGACGAATACTACGCTACAAAGGTTTGGACGAAAAAAGCACCCTGCCTGCTGAGAAGATGTGCTTTGAAACTAGTGCAAAAACAGGATATAATGTGGACAATCTTTTTGAGACACTGTTTGACCTGTTGTTACCCTCTATTCTCAGGAAAAGAAACGAGAACCAAGAGTCCCCAACTGTAGACTTGGAGGAGTGTAGAACAAGTGGGGGAAAGCGGGGCAAAGCTTCCTGCTGCTAGGAATACTTTTTAAAACAAATACATATACAATCAAAGCACTAAATAAAACTGTGATAAAGATCTGGTGATATACATTTCCAATCTTGATGAGAAGTTCTATGACATTTCAGTCTTCCAGGTTTTGTAAAAAGTGGGCCAACATCATTACTTTTCTTTAATCTCTGACCACTGAAATAGCACTTTAAAGTGATCATAAGGACATTAAGACAAAATCCAATCATTGCACTGATGTTTGAGAAGCACATTGTGACAGTATTAGCATTTTATTATTTCACAATCTTGTTCTTCATTGTTGCCAATCCTAATGCTCACTGTGGCATAGCATAAAAAGTGCATTTAAGCTTTTTTGATAAATGCAATAAAGATTTTTTTAAATTTAGTAGTTATTGTGAATTTCCTTTAAATTGATAAATGACCAAAACTTGTATAAGAAACACAATTTTAATATTTTACAAAAAAACAACATTTAAATTGATAAAACAATGACATGGGAACTGATTTTATAGTGGTTGACCTGATAAAATTGTTTCATCATTCATAATAATTGTTTTCATCATTTTCAAACCAGACATTGCACACAAAACAAATACTTAAAAAGCTATGACTATGAAAACTATTAATCAGTTTAATGTCAAGTGCATCTATTTATACGTCCAGTGGGTGATATAAACAAAAAAGAAGGAGGAACAAGTTTGTTCAGCAGAGATAAATAACTAGTCAGTGCATTCTGTGAACATACTTTTGTAAAAGATTTGACCGATAAAAGGCTGTTACAGAGTTAAGAGAGTAAAAATCATAAATCAGAAAGTTAGTGGCTTTGTGGAGTAAGGTCACATCTTACCTTAAGAAGAATATAATTATAAGCATAATGTGGGCATCTTTGGTTTGGCTGTATTGATAGATTGATGTCAATGAATGTTATTGGAGGTAATAAGTTAAAAAGCACCAATCAACACGTATGTTTTTTCATAATGCAGTAAACCTTTTTAGAAACAATAATGTATTTACATCAAGGCTTCAGGGCCGAGGACAGTCTTTGAACGCTGTCTATATCCATCCCCTTTCCCTGGAAACATCTGCTGTGGATCGGGGGACATTTTTACAAGTTCTTCATGCAGACTTGGCAGCGGCTGATGCGGGACAGGAGCTGGCCAGCTTTTAGTGTCTCTGCTGAAGGTTCACTGTGGAAGGACTGGTCTATGGATGTTAGCCAAAAACTGTGCTTGTTAGCAAAGTAGTGACATGTGCCTTTGGCCCCATTGCACTCAATGAACGGTGTGGTCCTGAAGTCCTCCAGACAGGAGCCAGGAGATGACAACGACTGCCCTCCACCTTCATTTCCAGCTGCGGTGTGCTGGAGAAATACATGAGAAATCTTATGTTATAATAGTATATTAAGTATAAGCTTCCATTGTTTTTTTTTTTTTTTTTTTTTTTTTTTTTTTACAGATACTATGACCTTTAAATGCTGTGTATTTTGCAATTTTCTGATCTGTGTTTCATTATCAAAAACATACCTAGACTTGTGCTTTGTTTCATTCACACATATTTGACTCACAAGCCCTACATATGATACAATCAGAAAACACCTTGTGATGGCATCTGGCAATACAAGAAGTGTCCCACTGTGCTTTCAAAACTCCATACACCTTCACTAGAATCATTTGGATGATTTCAGTCCTGAAATTGTCAATCTCTACTGAAAAAAAGGGTTAACTACCATTGAAAACTATCGCTTCATGACACCACAAGGTAGAAAAGAGCATTTTGAGCTTTAGAGATGTAGACAGCCTATGCAGAATTACCCAAACATGTGAATGAAACAAAACACAACTCTAGTTATGTTTTTGAGGAGGTAACAATATTCTAACATGGCTCTTGACAAGAGTCACTTTCGTGTAATATAGAACCTTTAATTCATAAAAAGACAACTAAAAACAGTGTCATGAAGTATAATAAGAATCAGAAGAATCAAGAGAACAGAGCAATCCTTGTGTAGCTCTCGAACTCACCATGAGAAAAGAGTATCCAATCCATAAACTACGCCATCCAACTGGACACTGTGGGATGGTGATGTCCTGACTGTGGACAGCTATGGCCACAGAGGGAGCCTCGCAGACTGAACAGCGGCTAATGTAAGGCCTGATGTCCTCCTCCTCCACCGGCATCATGGGAAGAGGAGCAGTTGTCGAGAGCCAGTAGGACTTGTCATTTCTGCTGGCGTAGTAACATAAATCTCCAGGATTACAATACAGGAAGGGCATAGTGCTGAACTTTGGTAGACAAGATCCAGCCAAACCTAAATCCAACACAACAACAAGCAATAAATAAAAGTAAAAAATATAGATACATATATATGTTATTTAGAATATTACTCACCAAGATCCTGGTTGTGAGCCTTTTCCTGGCCTTCAAAGTACAGAAGACTGTATCCATCCCAGAGCTTGGTCATCCCCACAGGACACATAGGTGTGTGGTCAGTCTGACTGTGTTTCACCAGCAGGTAGCCAACACTCACACTACGGCCGGGCATGCCAGGTAAACCCGAGATGCCAGGTCTGCCACGGGAGCCTGAAAGGTAAGAGCAAATTCTATAATAAAAGCTGTGACTTTATTGTCTTTTATAATATTTGGTTTGAAAATTTGGACCCTCCACAATCCAGTCATGGAATTTCTCACTGCATTTGCACTTGCAAGGTTTCTGATTGGATTTGCACATCAGCACATGTGAAAAACGATATACTCAAACATGGTGTTTTTTTATCAGCAACCACACAGAAAAAATTAAAATATCTAAATATTAATCCTTAGCAATGTAACAAATGGTTAACTACTACAATATTTATGTTGGAAATCAAAAGCTCTAGAGCTGTAGATATAGTGTTATGATCATAGGTAGTTCTCAGATGCATGTACTGCTGAAATCCATTTAACTGAATCAATTTTTTATAAAGTTGTACCTCTTGAAGTAGTTTAAATTTACTTACTTCTGGTTATTCTCCTTGATCTCTCATCATAATAATACATCACCTCAGTCTGGTTCCTACCTTCCATTCCTTGTAAACCAGGGTGTCCTTCTGGACCAAGCTCTCCACGAAAACCAGGTGTACCAGGACGGCCACTAATACCAGGCATCCCTTTTACACCAGCAGCACCAATATACCCTACACAGGGGAAGAACAGTGATTTTATTTGTGTTTGACACTTGATAAACACAAATAAAATTATGATGATGACAGACCTGCATCTCCAGGGGTACCCTGTTGACCGGCATCTCCTTTGACTCCCTGTGGTCCCGGAAAGCCAGGTGGCCCTGGAGGACCTCTTTCACCTGGAACTTTGACTGGTAGCGGGGCAGGCCCTTGATCACCCTCAGGTCCAGGAGGACCTGCAGCAGGCAATCAGTGCATTACTACATGTGCAAATAAAATCTAAAAAGAAATGTTATTGTGTGCATCAGTTTACCTGGGATTCCTGTGTTTCCTTTTGGCCCTGCTGGTCCTCGTTCACCTTTTAGGCCCATTACACCAGGAATCCCCATCACGCCCTGATCTCCTTTAACTCCTGAATTCAAAACAAATGAGCAACAAGGTGAATATGGATATTGAACCACTATTCAAGATAAATTTCTGTACATTGTCCTGTACCTTTTCTTCCTGAAATACCATTGGGCCCTTTGTACCCCGGTGAACCTTGGTCTCCCTTAAATCCTTTAAATCCTTGGACTCCTGGAAATCCATTTGGTCCGGTCACTCCTTTCTCTCCAGGGGCTGCACTGGCACCAGGGAGACCTCTCACACCAGGGAAACCTAAAGACATTTATAACTTTAGTTACCAGTTCCCAGCCAAAGTGTCCATGCTGCATCAACTTACCTTCATATCCTCTAAGGCCCTTGGAGCCAATATCTCCAAATGAACCTTTTCTCTCAGCTGTGCCGTCTGGTCCCCCCAGACCCCTAGGTCCTGGTGGTCCTGGTTGGCCCGGGTCACCTAAACATATTGAAAGTAAAAGTCAGATGAGTTGAAACAAAACAAATTTAAACCATTTACAGAAACTAACCAACAAGGCCTCTTGAGCCCTGTAAACCCTCTTTTCCTGGAAGACCTCTCTCATGGTTGGGTTCACCATTCTCTCCTTTTGGACCTGTCAGCCCTGTTTCTCCATCTGGTCCATAGTTATCAAATCCTGAGGAAAAATAACAGCACATTTATGTATACTATTAAAACAACAGACAAATTAACTATACAGACAAAGGAGACTCTGTTATCTCAAATAAAGTACCACGATATTTATAGAAATACCTGGGGTGCCGGGGAGACCCTTTTGTCCTTTCAGTCCATGTAATCCATAAAGCCCCTTCAGGCCTGGAAAACCTTTGTACAAATTTAAAAAGAAATCAGTGACTGAATATAGCATATAAAATCCTCAAAAACAAAAGTAGAAACTCAAACAGTGGCTTGTCCCACAGGTCATACTCAGCACAGAGCATCCCTGTGACTAACTGATGGACACAGGAAGATGAACTGTTAAATATGTTTTCGTGTTGCTGCAGATCTAAATTTTCTTCGGATCAACATCTGAATGAATGAACATTTGAGTAATACCTTTGTTCCCTGTGTGACCAGGAAAGCCAGGGAGACCTTCTTTTCCTGGTAATCCCTGTGAACCTTTTAGTCCTTGTTTGCCAGGGGTTCCCTTCTGTCCGTCTAAACCTAAAGAAGTTGAAGAGTTTGAAATACGTCCATCCAAAACCATGACAATATTTCTTTTTCTGTTTCTAAAATATACCTCGTTGGGGCCAGTGTCTCCCCCATCTCCTCTAAACCCATGTCTTCCGTCAATACCATCAAATCCAGGGGTGCCCCTGATTCCTGGGTTTCCAGTCAACCCCTTTTCACCTGTAACAATGATATTTAAAATCATGAATGATCACTACTAATAGGGATGTAAAAAATACTGAAATTTGTGTATATATATATATATATATATATATATATAATATATACACACACACACACACACACACACACACACACACACACAACAGATATGTTTTATTTATAATTACAAAGTTATTTTGTGACCGTAGTACAAGATTGTTGCTTATTTAGTGGAGGGAAACTTGTTAATTATTTTGCAGTTGTTTCATTATTTTGTTGTGGTTTATCAAAGAAATGTTGTTGCATAAATGTGGTTCTTAAAAAACAGCAATATACCATAGTATCAAGTATCATATCGAATCGTGAGGGACTCAGCACTACTACTATTGGACAGTGAACTGTTGCAACTCTGATGGAGTTTACCTGGCTCTCCGGGCAAACCAAATTCTCCTCTGAGTCCTGGAGATCCTGGCAGATCTATACGAGCTCCAGCGAGTCCTAGAACAAACAGAAAATAAATGAAAGATTAAGTAAGAAATGAGTTTGTTTAAATGAGTCTACCTTTAATTCCTTTGATTCCTTTGTCTCCCGTTGCACCATAGGCTCCTGTAGTTCCTTTAATGCCCTGAGGGTCAAATTACAAAACCTTAATTATTTATTTATTATTATTTTTATATTTTGAAAATAAAAGAAAAAGAGGAGAGAAGGGAGACAAAATAATTTAGCTATTATTAATACTCTATTTATGATCATAACACACACCTTATCACCAGGCATTCCTTCAAACCCAGGAATTCCTCTATTTCCGGGGACACCTGGCATTCCTTTTATTCCCGGAAGTCCCTGAGCACCTGGGTTTCCTTGGTGTCCTTTTTCGTGGCTGGGGTCTCCGGGTAAACCGGGATGTCCCTCCATTCCCGGGACGCCTGGAAATCCTTTTGAACCTGTATCAAAGACAGACTCAAATATAAATTACAGAAAGACCTTGAGGCAACTGGACGAGACTGACTACTTACCTCTTTGCCCAGTAAAACCATAATTTCCAAAATTTCCACGGTCTCCTTTGAGGCCTTTCATAGTAACAATTATAATTTGGGGGATCTGAGGCTTCTTTCCAGGTGGGCCGTCAAGACCTCGAGCCCCTACAGATATAGAAAAGATGCAGAGACAGTTAAGATATCTGATCAAATGTTAAGTAAATGATCACATGTTTACTCTGAGCATCACCTTTCTCTCCTTTGAAGCCTGCAAGTCCTTTAGGACCACTTTCACCCGACACCCCAATATCTCCTTTGACCCCAAGGAGACCCTTTTCACCAGCATTACCCCTGCGACCTTCAAATCCTGCCATCCCTGGAGAACCCTTGTAACCTGTAGTAGGATGAGAAAGTTACAAATAACAACAAATAAAAGTATCACATCACAGTAATTCCTTTTTGTGATGCTAACCTTTAATTCCTGGAAGACCTGGCTGACCATGTGAACCATGAGATCCTGGATCTCCTTGCAGACCATCATGTCCAGTGAAGCCCACTTCACCAAACTCCCCTGGGATACCCTTCAGCCCCACTGGCCCTGGGGGGCCAGGGTCACCCTCTGTTCCCCTCTCCCCAGTGAAGCCTGACACAGAGTACAGACATTATTAAAGGGAAACTCCACCATATGAATGTATTGACCTCAGTGTTCAGACCTGGCAGTCCTATGGTCCCTCGTGCACCAGGCAGGCCTACACTCCCATTATCACCAGGATAGCCATACTTCCCCGCTGGTCCAGGTCTGCCCTCCTCACCCTGCAGGCCAGAAGGACCTGTCTCTCCCTTGAAGCCAATCATCCCGGGCATCCCAATCATCCCTGCCAGCAGAGAAATGTCTAAGTTTTATTCTCATAGCACGCTAACAGTAGTACATGTTTGTGACAGAACCTAACCTGTGTATCCCGGCCCCCCTTCCTCTCCAGTTTGGCCTTTTTCTCCCAGTGGGCCAGGGGGTCCCTGCTCACCTGGGGAACCAGGCATTGCTCCGAGGATGTCTCCATGAGCACCCTTTTCTCCCTGGGTCCCATACCGTCCAGGTTTACCTGACATCCCTGGGTTCCCCACAGTGCCTTTCATTCCAGAATGCCCATGCTCGCCCCGTGGGCCTGGAAAACCTGTGAGAGATATTCAAACACAATGACAGGGGGCCTAACAGGGGGATTTACTGGGGACACAGGGAGCATTACGAGACAACAATAGATCTCAGTCTCATCACTCACCTGGAGGTCCGGGGCTGCCTCCTCTGCCTTGATCACCCTGCTCTCCTTTTACTCCTAGTGGTCCAAATAATCCAGAGGGTCCTTTTTGGCCTTGAGGTCCTGTTAAAAAACACCAACAAGAAAACAAAAACAAGGAATAATAGTGTTGGGTCTGACCAGAGAAAAAATGTGATGACTTATACAGCATTTGTAAAATCATGCCATTGATTAGATAACAAGAGAGACAGATGTGTTACCATGTAAACCAGGAAGTCCGTGACCTCCAGGGGGTCCAGGTAACCCAGGGGGTCCAGGGATGGTTTCACAGAGACCTATGCGAGCAAACATGAGTTAGGAATTCACCCTGGTTTGTGTGAAGAGGAACAGTGAGACATTCATGTGAATTTACTTTGTCAATGCCCAGCGTGAATGTGTAGGCTTATTTTTGCAAAATCCCTTAACATTTTTTAGCTTGTATTACTATTAACCTAAACATCATATGTGAGCAATACAATATTAATCATGCATACCAGTAAAAATAGAGGCAAAGCCTTTGAGAGTTATCAAGAGAGATGAAAATTATTAGTGAATTATACCAGCTACCTGTTACATCCAACTGTTCTCCGTCTGCTGTGGGACTACAGCCGCCTTTCAGTTGCAAAGGAGATGAAAGAAAAAGGCATTCGGAACAAGAATTATTCAAAAGCACAAGCATTATCTCAAACAAGCTGAGCTGCGGCTGGTTTGAGAGTTGCACCCCCCTGCATCAAGTAAACAACCAGAGCCAAGAAAGTACACATTATTACAAATATCCAAATGTTCTGAATTGTCATGCACTCCCAAGTCACAGGCAATTAATATCCATTCCTCCTTTTGCATTATTAAAAAATACAAAAGCTAATATTGAATAGTAAAATGAAGGATAGAAGATAATGTCCAAGTAGCCTTACAGAAGTATGAGTAAAAGGAGATTTTGGTTCCACGTACCTGGTGTACCAGGTGTTCCTGCAACTCCAGAATACCCTGGGATGCCGTCATCTCCAGGTAAGCCCCGCTGACCTTTGACCCCACCGAGGACTTGCCCTGGTTCTCCTCTCAGCCCTGGAGTACCAGGTTGTCCCCTCCGACCAGGAAATCCCTTTTCTCCATATTCTCCTCTAGGACCCTCTCCCTGGAATAAAGGAAGTCAACTCTGTACCCTACACCTTTTGTATGGATAGTAAAAAATGAGTTGATAACAGACTTACAGGAAAACCACGACTCCCAGGAAAACCAGGGAGTCCATTTGGACCTGGAGCCCCTATTGCGCCAGACTCACCGTTGATACCTGTGTCACCTGGATCACCACTCTGTCCTGTACCAGACGCATGAATTTATATTGTCAGGTTCATATAGTTGACACTGGTAAACACAGGCAATTTCTTGATGTCCCCACCTTTCACTGTGGCCACAAACGGATCACCTTTTCTGCCTTGAGGCCCTGGCTCACCATTGACACCAGGAAATCCCTGCATTTGCACAGAAATAATCTGATTTGAAAAATCAATTCTTATGCATTTTTGTACCTACGAACAATACTCACAGGTAATCCATCATCCCCCCTGAGACCTGGGTCTCCAATGTCCCCCTCTCGGCCAAACTCTCCTGTCATGCCAGGGTCTCCCTGCTCTCCAGCTGGCCCCTGGGGTCCAGGAGGTGAGTTATCAGAGCTGCACTGACATTCTCCATGGTCACCTGAATGCACATAATAGTGTCAAATATTAAACAGAGAAAATAATGCACAATTTTATTTTGTGATTGTGCTGAGCTAGTTTTAATGCACCTTTGAGTCCCTTCAGTCCTGCGTTTCCTGGCCGTCCTCTTCCTCCAGGAGATCCTTTAAAGTAGTCGCTCACTTGTCAATAGCAGATAGAGTCAGTATCCCAGACTACAGCAGTATTACTCTAAATATGGTGTCACTCACATGATCCCAGGGGTCCAGGCTCGCCCTTTTCTCCTGGTCGACCTGGTTTGCCTTTGGGTCCTGGTTCTTTTGCGTGGACACCTTCTTCTCCTATCTGACCTCTGTCTCCAGGGTCCCCCCTCTCACCAAATGGACCACTAAAATCAAACACTGAAACAAAAAAATATTTTCTTGAAGTATTAGTAATACAAGGTGGAGAACAGCTTTAGTGAACTGACCATGTTGTTGTGTATCAAAAGCAGGAAGTCCTGGGGGTCCAGGAATACCAGGGTCACCAGTCAGGCCCCTCTCTCCTTGTGGTCCCTGTTCACCGGCAGGGCCAGGTGGACCAGCTTATCAACATGAGTTAAAGGATAAAAATGCATTTCATTATACTAAATGCAATTGCTTAACAGATTGATTTATAGAAAATGAAAACATTCCTTATCTCTTTCTTCATTATAACAGTTGTTTACCTGATTGCCCCCAGGGCCACACAGATCCAGATGAGATGAGCTCTCCAGCTTCACCTCTGTCTCCCTGAAATAAATCCATTCTTAATTTGTATTTGTGTCATCAGAAAAACCTCTCTTGTTATCGGTTTCATTTGTTTACCTGTATTTCCTTATGTATTGAGAGCACTCACTTCAGACTTACCTTTGGACCAACTTTGCCACTTTGACCTGGATCACCTGGCTCCCCCTAAAACAAAAGGGAGGAAGCGAATTACATTATTGAAGAATAATGCATTGCAATTTTGCATGCAATTTTTGAGTTTCAAACACTTACCCTTAGTCCAGGAAGCCCATTGACACCAGGAGGGCCCTACACACTCACAAAGAAACACATTTAATGTCATACAAAAGACATATGAGATTTCCATGTGTATTAAACAAACCCGCGAGCCAGGGAACCCCATGACACCAGTTTCTCCTCTGTTATCAGCCTAAAATACAATAAATATAACTTTGAAATTATGTTTATTTTCTAAGAATTACTGCTGTAATTTACTTAATTTGTTGTGTAATAACTCACCTGATCTCCTCTTTCACCTTTGAGGCCTTTTTCACCTTGGGGTCCCTGAAAAAACAAGTAGAGGATAATAAGTAACTTGTAAATGTGTATTACGCACTATATTGGTAGTTAATTGAAGTGTAATTTACAGATGGGGCATCCTCTGGTTGTTTTTGCTGATGAGTAGAGTTTCCTGGATACCCAGGAGGCCCTGTCTCCCCCTTGTGACAAAAAGAGGAAATGGAAACAATATAATATTTTGATTTACCATTTTTATACTAATACTAGACCTGTCACAATAATTACTTTATCACCTTATCTTTCATAGCTTGGATCAATATCTATCTATGTGTGTGTAGTTTTTTGCATTAAAGGGGATTTTTACATTACTCACTATTTGTCTCACAGTGGGGATGATACTAACTAGTGTGACACTAGTGTGTCATTCTACAATTTATTCATTACTGCTCGTGTTTTTTTTTACGCTATGATAGATTTATAAACTGTACTATACTGTAGTGTTATTATTGCCAATTGCATAGACTAGTTTCAACATTATTGTGATATTTTTCTGTTGTAATATATATTACATACATTACATTACATGTAAACACACTTGTCGTATTGTTTCTATTAGCTGTCTGTTTTGGTTTGAACAGAGAATGGCACACTTACTGGCTCTCCTTTGACTCCTTTGAAGACTTTGGTCATTGTGCCCTGTGACAACAGCCAACACAACATTGTATTGAGTATATTTTAATATTTTAACTTGCAACGATATGGCTTGGTATCTCGTTACATTAAAGCCAACTATGAGGACAGTAATAATAACTATAATATTGCCCTACAGTTTTATCAAAATCTAATACAGAAATTATATACACACACACACACACACACACACATATATATGTATATATACAGGCCAAAATACCTGCAAAGAGTGAGACAAGTCCTAAGAAGCCAGCTCAATGGCAAGTACAAGGCACAGGCAATCAACAGCTACGCCCTGTCAGTGATCAGATACCCTGCAGGAATCATAAGCTGGCCAAAGGAGGAGATACAGACCACAGATGTTAAGACACGAAAGCTCCTGACCATGCATGGAGCGTTACATCCCAAATCCAGCACCCTGAGACTGTACGCAAGCCGGAAGGAAGGGGGCCGTGGACTAGTGAGTGTGGGAACCACTGTCCAGGATGAAACATCCAAGCTCCTTGAGTACATCAAGGACAAGGCCCTGACAGATGAGGTGCTCAGAGAATGTCTCAGACAGTGGGGTCCAGAGGAAGAGGTGCTGGAGGGATCATCATGGCAGGACAAACCCCTACATGGGGCGTACCACAGGAACATAACTGAAGTGGCTGATATCAAGAAATCCTACCAATGGCTTGAGAGGGCTGGTCTGAAGGACAGCACAGAGGCACTGATCCTGGCTGCTCAGGAGCAGGCCCTGGGCACTCGAGCAATAGAGGCCAGATCTACCACACCAGACAAGACCCACGGTGTAGACTGTGCAAAGAGGCTCCTGAGACAGGCCAGCACATAACTGCAGTGTGTAAGATGCTGGCAGGGAAAGCATACATGGAGTGACATAACCAAGTGGCGGGCATAGTGTACAGAAACATCTGTGCAGAGTACGGGCTGGAGACCCCTGGATCAAGGTGGAAAACACCTCCAAAAGTTGTGGAGAACGACCGAGCCAAGATCCTGTGGGACTTCCAGATACAGATGGACAGGATGGTGATGGCGAACCAACCAGACATAATGGTGGTGGATAAGAAACAAAGCAGAGCCGTGGTGGAGGACATCGCAATACCAAGCAATGGTAGTATCAGGAAAAAGGAACACGAAAAACTACAGAAATACTAGGGGCTCAAGGAGGAGCTGGAGATAGCCTGGAAAGTGAAGGCATCAGCGGTGCCTGTGGTGATAGGAGCACTTGGGGCCGTAACCCCCAAACTGGAAGAGTGGCTACAACAGATACCGGGAAAAAACAACGGACATCTGAGTCCAGAAAAGTAGTACTGAGAACAGCAAAGATACTGCGCAGAACTTTCAGGCTCCCAGGCCTCTAGAGGACCCCAGCTGGATGAGGGTGAGAGAGACCAACCACTGTGGAAGGTGAGAAACACATATTATATATATGGAGTGTGTGTGTGAATGTACCTTTGGACCGCGGGGCCCGGGAGGGCCTGGAGGGCCCTTTAAAAACAAAAACAAATAAGATAGTAGTGAGTAGCTGTATTGTGCTTCATGAATAAATCACTTGTCTACACACTTACCTTTGGACCAAGAATACCTTTGCTTCCAGGCCAACCAGGATTTCCAACAGGTCCCTTAGCACAAACATGGTTACTTAACATAATTATTTCAAAAAGATGACTCCAAATATTGTATTGTATTGTGTCTTACAAAAATCCCATTGAGTCCTGGGGTGCCTGGATCTCCCTGAGGATTTACAGGAAGATAATTTAGCAATATTTAGTAAATGATACAGAGCTTTATTTCAGTCTTTGTACCCTGAAGCGTTCCATGAAGACACTCAGCTCTAGTGAGTCTCCCTTCTCTCCCTTTCTTCCTGGAGTCCCCTACCAGACCGAAAGGAAACACATCAGCCACTTTGTAAAAAAAAAAAAACATAGATTAAAGAGAGAATAAAGTTACACCCACAGGTATACCAGGGACCCCATTGTAGCCGGGCTGTCCTGAACGTCCTGTGTCTCCTTGAGTCCCATTACAGCCGTCTGCTCCAGGCTTTCCTCTGGGTCCAGCTTGTCCTGGGTGGCCCTACAGTGTAGATCACAAATTCATACATTATACTGTGTATAGTTTCACGTGTCAAAAAAGAGAGTGCCGATGAGTCTATTTTCCTGCAACTAATGTTGAAAAGCATTTTGACTTTGCTGTGATGAGAATTCCTTGATATTACAACAAATACATGGATGCTCTGCTAGGATATAAAAGTATGCATCAAAAGTTGTATACTTACAGGTATTCCATCATTTCCAGAGAAACCAGGGACACCAGTCATTCCCTGTGAAGGTAACACAAGTTTATGTATAGTTATATAAATTATATACATATATATAATCTGATTTATGTTCGAGGTAATTAAACATTTATCATAAATGAATTTGCTAATTGTGGTATATCTATTAGATTAAGATAAGGTACCAAAATTACATTAAAAAAAAGTTTACCACACTGCCTTTAAGGCCCATGATCCCCCCTTGTCCTCGGTCCCCCTTCTGTCCTTTGTGGCCCTCGATGCCTTGGTCCCCTGGTCGCCCTGGAGGCCCCTGGGGCCCCTGTGGACCCAGGGGCCCAGGTGAACCCTGAAGAATACAGACAAAGCAAACAGGTGGTTTAGAGAAAGTGAGTAAAGTAGGGAGTTAGGAAAAAACTATTTAAGATATTTTTTTATTTTCAACACTAGAGGGAGACATATGCTGTATGCTAACCATTTCGAACAGCAGAACTTCAACTATTTTGTGGCATCTAGTGGCCAAAGAGTTTACAACATATTACTGTATTAAAAATACTGCTAAAAAAATAAAAATCCCTCGACGACTTCAACTAATTTACTTAAAGTATAATTCAATACTATACCCTCAGAGTATTTTATTGTATATATTTTATTGTCTAAATGTGTTCAATTGATACGCACTTCAAACATCTCTTTTGTCACACTGGCCTGTTTAAGAGGTCGAGATTAAGCTTGCCTGTGTAAGTCAGTGATGTCTTTTGCATATCTCCATAATATAAAGTGGAAGGCGCATTAAAGTTTCACAGTGCTTAACTGTAAAGAGGACACAGAATCATAAGGACATAGAAACACACGTGTATTCTGACACTATGGGAATAGGAGTTTTGGATGGACAGAGAGTTCAAAGGTCAATCAGCTACATCCCCTGAGTTTTGTGAGAATGAATAAACAGAGAAAGTCTTGTCCCCCGACAGATAAGCTGATGATAAAAATACACTATGGAGTCAAACAACAAGTATTTAAAAGCTGAGACTGAAAGTGAGGCACAGTAATGAAAATCAAATAGTTCTTTTACAAATAGGCATGCACCAATCCAGCTTTTTCAGTTCTGATATGATTTTAATACTGCAGATTTAAGTATCTGCCAATACCTGATATAAACCAGTAACTAAAACCTGGCCAAAACTTTTTTGGCCAACTACAACTTGTAAATAGCTTAATTACATTAATTTAAAAGTATAACCAGGATCTCAGCTCGATGAATATTTTAAAGTCGATGTCCGATCCAGCAAATTTTTCACTACTGGTGCTGATATCTGACACCCGTATCGGAAAGGTGCATCCCTCTTGACAAACACCTTGTATATGGCCTTAGCATGCTTGGTTATATCTTGTGACACTAGGACCAAGTCTGTGGTTCAAATACCCACCAAAAACAAAACATCTGACCTTCAATCAAAGAAAATAAATATAATCCAACTGCATTTCTTCCCAACAGGATCATTTCTGTTATGGCCTAAGGATAGCCAACCGTCCAAGCGTCTGGAGACATTTCCTCTCAGTGATGTGGAAATCATATAAAAACTCTATATCTCAGTGCAAATGGTTGATAAAGTGCGTCTGGAAGGAAAAGCTGCCACCTTCTATTGTTGCACTGAAGAAAAAAAAAAATCCTTGGTTGAAACTTGAGATGAACCTGACACAAAAAATCAATTCATCACAATCAAAATAAGGAAATAAAGCAAGAAAAATATTGCATTTGTCAACAACAAATGCAATATTTGTATACATTTACACAGTTTGTAAAGGGCAACCAAAAGCAAAGGCCCTGAACCTTTTTTTTTTTTTTTTTTTTAAATCACAGAACCTCATTATTCTGGAATGAACTGGCATTTATAACATGTACACAGTGCATTTGTACTGTAACTTGAAGATTTGTTTTCAAGTTTATATCTGAGTGGGTATCTACAGTAATTCAGGTAAGTGATGTCATGATGTGGCAGTGCTCAAGTTTACAGCTACCTTTTACATTTTGCTCTGTGAAGACTGGCAACTCTACAGCTAAAATTATCTAAACAAGTCCACTGAAGGTGTATGAAAGGTGTATTTAAAAACACAGTGGAGCACTTCCTGTACAGAGTGTTTTCTTTTTGAGCGAAGAACTGAGCCTAAATATGATGGATTTGTGTGTACATGAAAAAACAAACAAACAAACCGGCTATGTTTCTGATAAGGAAACAGCATCATAACATAGATCAAAAAATAGTGCAATATGGGTCTTTAATCAGAGAATGTATAGAATTGTTTGAAAACTAATACGTAAATGCAACACTGTAAATATGGTTTTGACCCTTGTCCATCTCTCTTCATCACTCTCCTCCTCATTCTTTATGCAAACGCTGCCTCCACTGAGCAGTTCCTCCCTTCCTTTCCAGAAACTTTCCCTGCATACCTCTGCATTTCCTTTGGCTATTCTCTTGTTTGCTTGACCTTTCTGTCTTATATGATGGAGACGTACACAGTGAAAACATTGCTGGCTACTCCTCTCACATTTTTTACAGTGTCAAAAACATTGCCATATAAATACAATACTGTGCAGAGGTCACTGCCTCAGAACGAGAAGGTCCTGAGTTCTATTCCCAGACCTTGACAGGCTGGCTAAGTGGCATTGAAGTACGGGTCAAATGCAGAGGACACATTACCCTAAAGTGACAAAAAAGTAGACCTATAGCTTACCTTAAACATTTTTAAGAACAAATAAAGGTACTTCCATGCAGTGGTAGAAGGTAAAAAAGTACAATTAGTCAAATACTATAACACAGTTTTAGGTATTTGTACTTTAGTTAAGAGTGGATACTTTTTACTTATACTTTCTACATTTGAGAGCAGATATCTGTACTTTCTCCTCCAGGACATTTTTGAACTGGACTGAAAAATAAAAGTATTTTTCATATGATTTTAAGTTTTTTTTTTTTTTTTTTACCATGATTGTGGTAACATACTGACTAAAGAGTTCAAGCTTCGGCTTTTGGCAAAATTAAGGAATTGATTCGTACTGGCACTGTTGCCCAAAATCAGTAAAAAATTGTATCATTATCACTACATTGAACACTTTAAAAAATATACTAATGTACTGAGTAACTTTTTGCCTCCGTATCTGTACTTTCACTTAAGAAAATTTGTAAAATTTTATGGCTACAGATCAAAAAATTTGCTTAGAAATCTTTGAAAATCTCCTGAATGTTACCAGTGCATAGTGTAACTTTTCTGGTGGAGATGCTGTTGCTTTGTCTGGAATGTTTCACAGTATGGCATTAAACTTTTCTATCCTCATGGAGACCAAACTAGACCAAGTTACAGGTCAGATCTGTGGAGAGGCAACCCCACTTACAGTCAGAATACCACCAGAAACGTTACACAATGCCCCTTTAATAGTCACTTGAATTTACACTAAAAATAAAAACAGTTACTAGGAAATATTGATAAAAGAGTCTAGACCCCTTTTCTGATTTACACGAAGTAGATGCTATAAAACAGGACCATATATTCCGTATTTTTAGACTGTGATGAAAAGAGATTTGTGTTGTGGAATCCAGGTGTTCTTCTTACGAGCTTGTCCCAGTTTTGTGAAAGGAAATGTGGATATCTTTGAAGGCGCTCATGATTTTAGCAGATTATGAAGCCCAGGAGACTAGCGCTGTCCTCTGACCCCTCTGTAACTGTACCTATCGCAGCTGGCTCGCGTCATACCTTAAGCCTCTGTGTCTCGTGAGCTCCGTAATGGGCTGGGGGCTGCCATCAATCATGTACTTACAGACACGTGGAAAGGGGACAGGAGCAATGTGGAGCAGGTGAACTGTGTATGCCCTGAGATTTAACTTTGAGGAGAAGCTGGATTTTTACTGTACAGGGCAATAGTTTAGAAAAAGGAAGAAAACATCTGTTGTTTCATCATAGTGAATATATCAAGAAAGACAAGAGTGGCCGTAAGAGACAGAATATAGTGTCGTCAACAGGCCTATAAGTTTCTAAGACTTGTTTGAAATGTTTTTCTTTTTCAATTTTGCTTCTGATGTACTTCCTTTAGACTAACTAAACTCATGACATTATCTGATTATGAGTCTATCGAGATGATGGGCGACAGTAGCTCAGTTGGTAAAGCGTTTGTCCACTCATCTGAAGGTTGGCAGTTTGAATCTTGTTCTTGATGTAAACAGCATTGATTGAGTGGTCAGATCCACTGACCCACAGTTTGGTGGTACGATTCCAGCTCCCACAGATGAATGCTGTCATTGTGTCCTTGGGCATGACCCACCTCGCCCCCAGTGTCTGCGTTCACTGAATGTGTGTGAATGGGTGAGTGGTTCCTTGATATCAAAATAACAATGATTTGTTGAGTTTTTAGTAGACCAACATGCTACAATGCTGCGTACGATACAATAATATTTCATTCTTTTTATTTTTATTTTTACAATTTTACCAATTATTCATAATTATTGACATCACCATCAAACATTCAATGCATCGATCACCTCTCCTCCAGTATGTAACCAGGTTTAGGAAATCAAACTTTTTGAAGATTTAAGTTAATGTGACAAAACTAAAATACCCCAAAGCAAGAAAAATCATCTGACAAAGGCTTTTTGCTGAAACATAATTTTTTTAAAAAAAAGCTTTTGAACGTGGGACATCTGAATGTGCTGTACATTTTTTCACTTTTAAATTGCTGCTCCTTGCATTTGCACCTCTACAAGAACTTTGTTTCTTTTGAATGTGGAAAAACAAACAAACAAACAAACAAAAAAAAAACACTTCACATTCAGGTTCACGTTTTTAGAGTGTGGACAGAGACCTGAATAATTCATGAAGATCAATGAACCGATGAACTAATCTGGACATCCCTAACCCACAATAATCAGAAAAAAACATTGAGTTAACTATTGGCACCTTGACCCAGGCACATTAGACAGATATTCTACCACCAGTGCAGTCCTCCTTTCTTTACTTAAGCATTTTAAAAATGATCAGGCATTAACCTCTGACCATACAACTTATGCTTCACTGACGATGAGATGTCCCAGCTCACACTGAAGCTGGAGGAATGCAGAGGAGGATACAGCAACACGTGAGAAACATGAGCAGACAAAGTGAAGTAATCTAAACCAAAACTCAAATTAAACGTGACATGTTTTGGTCATTCGCCGCTGAGGATTGCGGGTGACGTTTTACAACTACATAATAAGATCCAGAAGTGCAGGTGTGAGATAAGTGTGGCGGGCCAGCTTCCTGTCTGTCATTCACAGACACAAGGTGAAGGAGTACTCAGATTACAGCCAACACAACCAAGCA